CTCCCTCTTGAAGAGGAGGACTGGCTTGACAACGACTTGGATGATGTGCTTCGATTCCAGGGAGCTCCTCTTGAGTTCCGGACCGCCCTTGTTGATCTGCCTATATGGCATCAAGCCGGCAAACCTCATCCAACTCGACTTGATGTGTACACTGATGGGTCTGCGAATGCCGTCGCAAGTGACGACCATTGTATCACACCATGCTCCTGGGCCTTTGCTGTTTTCGCGATTGCCCACGACAGACCCTATCTGATTGGACATGCTTCAGCCCAAGCGGTCCCTCCTTCCTCACCATACCACCTTGGCGAAGTGCGCGACGACGCACTCACAGCGGAGCTCCTTGCGCTCTGCTGGGCCATCATATGGGCGACTCAGCATTCCCCACGATTTGCGGTCCCGGTGCGGTTCTTATATGACGCACAGGCAGCAGGACAGGGTACCTTTGGAGCTGCCAAGCCAGTCAAAGGTGTGTCTCCAGAAGCATATTCAGCCTTGACGGCCTTTGCTACATCTTTGAGACATTATCTCTCTGTACTTGTGACCGTCGAACATGAGCACGTCACAGGACATGCTGGGTATTTAGGCAACGAATTATGCGATGCCTTGGCGAAGATTGCGAGGAAGGGCCCGCAGGACTTGTTTGACAGATGTATGCCTACCTGGCCCTCCCAATGGGCCAAGCACCCGCTCTCGGAGTGGGCGTGGGCCACCCTGCCTCATCAGCCAGACTTACCACGATTGTTCTGTTTCGACACTGAAGTCGCGCTTTCACAGACGCAGCCTCCGCTCCCTGTCGAGCCACCGGCGTATGGACTGGAGCAAGTTAAACATTCTGCAGCAGATGCACAATTTGCCCTGACCTGTATCAGTCTGAATGTTCTCACGCTACGCGACCCTAAGTCTCAACAGGCGCCCACTGGTGTTGGCATGTGCCTCCTAGGCCGCAAAGATCTGCTTAAGCAGTCTTTAGCCCCCTACACACCACTTTTCATTGGTTTGCAGGAAACACGCATCCCAGAGACTTCAGTCCAGCCTGATCCCGATTATTTCATATTCAACGCTGCCTGTAATGACAAAGGGGACTACGGCTGTGCACTTTGGATCTCCAAACATGTGCCTCTGTACAGCACTCCTGAAGGACCGGTTTTCGTTCAACGGCCAGACGTCACTGTTGTTGGAGTCTCCCCACGACACCTCACTGCACACATTCAGACGCCAAGGCTTTCGTTGCAGGTACAGGTCCTCCATGCGCCCTCTACCGTCAGCTTCCCAGTAGAAGAGGTCCGCGACTTCTGGGATGCTAGAGCCACAGAGATGCTCGGCCGTACTCAAGGAGCCGAATATCTAATCCTGTGCGATGCTAATGCCAGACTCGGCAATGTCATATCCGATTATGTCGGCGATCACGGAGCGGAGGATGAAGGTGTGGCAGGTGAGCTTTTTCACGAATTTTTGACCAAGGTTGATGCGCTTGCACCCTCCACATGGGCCTGTTGGCATCATGGCCCGCACCACACCTGGTGCTCCCCCCATGGGTCTTACTCTCGCATAGATTATGTGCTAGTCCCCTTCGCGTGGCAACATGCTCACTTTGAGTCGCGTACATTACCTGACGTTGAACTCATGCAATTGCGAGAGGACCATGTCCCGGTGCTGCTCACCTGCCATTTCTGCAAAAATTTGCCACCACAAGCCTACACTCAAGCACGTAGCTGTATTGTCAGGCCTGACCTCACAGCCAGAGGCCCTCATGCGCGCAGTCTGCTACAGCAAACCGTGCCCACTGCTGACTGGACTACCGGTGTCGACGAGCACTGCCAGGCACTCGCCACTGCCTGGCAGGCCGTCGGGCAGACTCTCAGTCCAGAGCGCACAGCTGTACTGAAGCAGCCTTACTTGACACAGGCCACGTACACATATGTACTAGAGCGGCGACAACTTAGAGCCTTGCTTCGGGTTGGTGCGGAGGAGCGTCGCAGACGCTGGCTACTCATCGGATTCGCAGCCTTCGTCGTCCATACACGACAAGAAGCCTTCAGCCTTTGCCAACAGCAGACTGCAGACCACTGGTTACGTGCCATGGATCGGGATGAAGCCTCCCTTTTGGCACGATACAGGCAACTTGCGCGAACTCTCAGACGGAGTGTTGCCGAAGACCGCACAGCCTACCTTGCCAGTCTCGCCCACGAGGTTTCTGAAGGGAACATTGGAGACCCTAAGTCTCTATATCGAGTTCTCCGGCGTGCCTTTCCAGCAGCCAGACCTTCCCGCCGACAGGCCATTACACCCCTCCCTATGCTGCGACTCCCAGATGGCAGTCTCGCCAGTGACACAGAGACACGAGCCGAGACTTGGAGGGCCCACTTCGCCAATCAGGAAGCCGGCCTACTCATTGATGCTGACACCTATGCCGCTGACTTTGCCGCACAACAGCTCGTGCCACACAGCCTTGACATCCAGCTAGTGCCTACCCTCAGTGCGCTGGAGCGCCACATTTTGGCCACAAAGGTGTGCAAAGCAGCAGGCCCTGATGGGATTACTGCAGAGCTGCTTAAACTCCATGTGCCTAGCACTGCCAGGCAGCTCCTTCCCGTATTGATCAAGGCCAGCCTCCGTGTACAGGAGCCCATTATTTTTCGTGGTGGATCTCTCGTTTGTTTGGCCAAGCGAGCAGGACTTGCCCTGAGCTGTGACTCCTACCGATCCATCTTGGTGTCGTCTGTGCCCGGGAAGTTGTACCACCGCCAGGTTAGAGAGGCGCTTAAGCCCCTTTTGCTCAGCAGCCAAATGGACTTCCAAGCTGGAGTTGCGCCTGGCCAGGGCATTGAAGGAATCTCCCTGGCAGTGAGATCCTTTTTCGCCTTGTGCCAGACGGGAGGCACCTATGCCTCCGTCTGCTTTTTTGATTTACAAGCGGCCTTTTACCAGGTACTACGTGAGGCGCTAGTCCCAGCCACAGATGATGATGCCGGACTACTCCGTGTACTTCACGCGTTACAACTACCGCCAGCTGCCGTCCAGGAGCTCTATGAGCATCTCCAGAACGCAGCACAGCTCCCACTTCTAGGGGCCTCCTGCCATGTGACGGCCACTGTTCAAGACCTTTTCAGAGGCACATGGTTCAGGCTTTCCGGCTTCACCGCACTTACCCTTACCAAGCGTGGATCCCGCCCAGGAGACCCTACGGCTGATTTGCTGTTCGGATTCACACTGTCGGCACTCTTCAAGTCCGTTCACCAAGTTCTTGACACTAGAGGCCTGTGCCCCAAGATTCCCCACGCTTCCTCCAGGCCGGATTGCCTGGGAGATTGTGAATCTGTCTTGATTGGTCTCCCGGCCTGGGCTGATGACTTTGTGGCACCCCAAACAGGTGCGGACACCTCATCTCTGGTACACAGAACTGGGCAAACTGTGTCCACGATCATTGATTTTGCCACAGCTGCCGGCATGACTATTAAATTTGGGCGTGACAAGACCGCACTCCTCTTTCCCCCGGTTGTCCTACTACAGGAGCGGGACTCTTTGGAGTTGGATCTTGAGGGCTGCTTGTGCCTACCGTTGCGTAATTCCGTCACCGGCATGTCCGTGCAAGTGCCTGTCGTCGAAGCCTACCGCCATCTCGGTGGAGTGATTACTTCGACAGGAACGCCAGTTCCCGACTTGCACTTTCGCTACGCCCAGGCTCGCGGGACTCTCCGGCCTTTGCGCAGACGCCTTTTTGCTCGCGCGAATTCCCGTTACGCACCCGTGCCTTCTTGCTTCGGTCACTTGTGCTTTCAAAGTACGCGCACTCTGCTGCCGTGCTATTATTACGGGCGGCGTGTCAGGTCCGAGTGTGGGAGCAGCATTATGTTGCCCTGTGGCGAAGCCTTTTCCACCGCCGCTCCGCATCCACGCAGTTGCACAGCTTCCGCGTCCTTCACGAGGTTCACGCCCCTTCGCCGCCGCTTGCTCTTGCACGTGCCAGAGCGGGTTTTCTGCGCCGGGTCGTTGTGTCTGGGCCTAGAGCCCTTCTGCACCTTATGTGGAATCACTGGCAGCTGCATCCCGCCAGTTCCTGGCTCAAGCAGGTCCAGGACGACATCGGGCATGTTTCGCAGTATGTCCCCACCGTTCATAACGTTCTGGGCCATGGCGACGCAGTCGCTTCACTGCTAGAAGCTTGCCACTCCGACCCCATGTGGTGGACTCTGCAGGTCAAAGCTGCGGAACGAGCCTTTTATGCGGACCTTGAAGTGTGGAACAACGAGAAAAGGCTAGGCGCAGCCTCAGCTGCGCTCCCTTCGCCTTCCATTGCGCCCAGTGCATACTCCTGCTACCTTTGCAGCGCACAGTTTCCACTACGGAAACACCTTTATGCACACCTTGCCCGGACCCATTGGGTGTTCTCTCCCACCAGACATTATGCAATCAGCAATGTGTGCACGGCCTGTCTCAAGGTCTTCCCAGGGGTCATCCAGGTGCAACAGCACCTCAAACACTCCTCCAGCTGCCTCTCAAGATGTGTCTTCCTGCACCCTCCACTCCAATACGAGCAATTTAAGGCGCTGGAGGAACCAGCCCGTGCGCAGACAGCAAGGATCACGAAGGGCGAGTGGCGCGCCTTTCGAGGTCTTGCACGCACTACCAAGGCACAACAGTCGTTCGGCCCGCGCTTGCCCACCGCTGCCGAACGCGTCCCCGCTCAGGTCTCAGACAGTGATCCGCTTACCTCGCTCTCCCGAGGCTTCGTGCCCGAGGCCTCGCATGTCGTTTGGATTTCCGAATACGTTGAAGGCCGGAGCAAGGAGGGTCAGCGTCAGAACTCCCACCGTTTCTGGGACCGGCGACCAACGTCTCACCTTCAGAATTTGTAGTGCATGCATTTTTGGGACGCACCGCGTCGCGCTGCCGCCTAATCCAGGTGTCGGCCTGCGGACCGAGAGTCCACAAGAAAGAAAGAAAGAAAGAAAAGGCCGCCTTGGGTTCGTTTTCACCTCTCCCGTGTCTCTCCCTGAGAGGCCCTGGACAAAGGTGCTCTGCTGGATGTTCCGAACGAGTGTCCGGGTGGCTCCAGAGTTCGAGGATCTGTTTCGGAATCTTCGAGCGTGGGCGGTTTAGGGTTTAGGGGAATTTCGTGTTTGAGGGGTTTAAGGGTGTTTTGCAAGGTCGGAGTCTTGAGCTCAAGTGGAAGGCGTGTTCAGGAAACCGGGGTTTCGGGACTCGCGGGCCTATTGATGTGATTGTATTGGCTTTATATATCTGCAGTCGGAAGGGAGGGAAGGGAGGAGATCTCAGCCCTAGCCTAAACTCGACAAACCATCTTGTTCTACTAAGACTCAATAAGAATGTACGTTCCTCAATCTGGCAAGAGACAGTGCGTTCCTTGACTTGTTGAAGCAAGACTTGTGTGCCGGTGGAGGAAGGGGGTTTGGGACGAGGTAGTATCCATTTAGGGAGTCAGTTTGGGATTTTTATCTCCTCGCTTTTGGTTTGGCGTAGAGTCTTCTTGTTGGAAGCTTGCAAGCACGGGGCGGGACTTGTGCCGGTTCTTGGGCTTGTCCTTGTCGTTGGCACCCAGGTATTTCGCTTCCGTAGTCGTCTGCTGGTGTTTGCGCAGACCAAGCAGTGTTGCATTTGAGGCTTAGCTGAACTCCAAAAGGAGCATGCATCGTTAGATCTAAATGACAAAGGGACATGGATCATGATCTATCCCGCATAGCACTACAACCAGACACCGTTTCACCAAATCAAAGCGCACAAATCTGGGCATACCTGGGCATTACTTCAGAATCACGACCCTGACGAGATGTCCGGGACCCAACGCGACCCGAGTATACACGAGAGCTGCAAAGGTATGGCGAGACCGCCACGTTCCTGGCTGCCCTCGCGGGCTCATCCGAGGTGCTCATGTTGGGTCTATGGGCTTTCGGGTGCGACACGCATTCCGCTCCGTGTCGGGAGTTGGCTTCCTGATCCCTATGCCGCAAACTTTTCGGGCGCCGATGCCTGAAGATGGCTTCGTCAGGGGATGTATGGGTGGGGCACCTACGTGTGACAAAATCCTGCCACAGCCTGCCACTACCGGAACCGTACCGTGTCTTCGAGTATTGTCGTGAACGTGGGCTTAGAGATCCGAAAAAAAAGCAAGATTTCCAAAGATCGTGGTAGCCCTGCATCAGGTGATCCAGGTGCTCTTGTCTCGGAGGGCCGACCACACCATCCGCGACAATGCAGGCTTAAGCAGCTCGGATGACTCGGCCATCTTGTTCTTTGCATTCCGGGACTTAAAGGACTGTGTTGGGTTGTCCTGGCATGAGAGTCTGTGAATTTTGGTTGGATGCATTTGTGTGATCACAACAATTCCTTGAAAGTTGCTTTCTCATCTCGTCGTTTGCTGCTGTTGGAGGGGGGCTGCCTTCGCCTTCGACGGCTTTTTGCCTTGTTTCGCGTATAGTGATCCAACTAAGCTGTCTACTATTGGAGATCAACGTGCAAGTGCTTTTTGTTGCGATGACCTCAACATCGAAAAGCGTACGACAGCACAGCACGGCTGCTGCGTGCTGATGCAAAACCCTGTTAGCTGCAGTCCGCGCAGACCCAAGTCTCGTCGTAGCTCGGAGGAAGAAGCCGTGCTAGATCCTTGCTCTGGATGGACTTTTAGACAGATACAGATTCGGATGCGATCCGTTTCTGTGAGCAAACGTGGACTGCATAAGTCTGTACTGCTGTGATCTGTTTCAATCTTAGCATCTTGCTGCATGTCGTCTTGTGGTGCACGCAAGCCGCTTGTGCTTCCATCATATTGCAAACGGCACAGTGGTCGTCGAGTGCAAGCTGCTACCTGGTTAAAACAGTTCCTGAAACCCCAGCAAAGTTTGTGAATAAAACGCCTTCTTGCTTAATCCATTGGCGGAAGCAAGAAGCTCTTGTGAAACACCCCAAGGTGCGTGCCGTGCGGCGGAGTTGGGGGGAAGTCAGGCAGCCATGACCCTCCTTGCGGCGGCGGGGGCCGAGGAAGCTGATCTGTGCCCTTCTGGGCTGCCAGTGGTTTGGTAGCATCGCAAGCTTGCAAGAGCATTTGGCTGGCGTCGCTTGAGTGTGTACATTTTGGGTTAGTAAGTATTACTGTAGCATGTTATGCTCGGTTCGGAGTTTCGGAATAGTCTGTAGCATCAAACTTAGCTCTGAGTACGGGGCTTGGGTGTAGAAGGTTCTAGGAGGGCTATGCCATGATGGCGACAAAGTCGGGCCAGGGCCTTTGATGCTGATGCTGTGTCACAGCACCTGTTCAGCAGAACCTAGGCTTTGTCATGATGCTCATGCCGAATAACAGATGCTGAGACAGCGTTGAGTCAAGGTCACGATGGAGAACACTGCCTTCATGTTGGTGAAGCTCCTGAGAATAATGGAGATGGTGATATGGATGATGATGCCGATCACGGCCACGTCGTTTTGAATGAGCGTGATCATCGTGATTTTGGGCATCGTATTGCTAATGGGTGTTGACTACAAGCATCCTTCTCGCCACAGCCATAGGTGCTAACGGCTAGGACGGGTGCTGTCGCTACGACGGCAAGAGGTATAGCACTAGAATAGAAAGCATGATGACGAGAGCTGCAACTTCCACTTAGAATCGCAGGTCAGCCCGACGATGTCATCCGGCTACGGCTCGCTGCCCCGGGTGCCCGCGGCTTGCAGGTGCGAGAATGTGCAGGCCGAGGGGTTGGGGGGGGGAAGGGGGGGGGGGGCTGCGTTTTCTTCGCCTCTGACTCTGAGGTGCTTGGCGTTTTATTTGGGGTAGGGCTTGGGAGTCTTCTTCTGAAAGCCACAACTTCAAGCCACATCCCGAAGCTCGCTTTGGCAGGGCTCCTGGTAGAAGGCTTTGTAAGGAGAGGCATGGGAAGATGTGAACTAAACTGCTTTCGAGGTGACCAGAGTCATCCCGCTGGGAGTGGACCACGCCGGTGCCGGCACTACGGTGGTGGACAATGTCTTCGAGGATTCATTTCTGGCGCGACTGGACGAGCTGTGGAAGAGGCCCCGGACGACGAAGACCTCAACTCCCAAATCTCACCGAACGCTCGAACCTTTGGATGCCTCCACGTCCCCAAAGCCCGAGGCGCCTAAATCTTCGGCCCTTTTCTTGCAGGCCCTGAACCTCGAAAGCTCTTTCCCACAAACTGCAGCGCTGCAGTATGGAAGAGGCTGCCGCTCGCGCCGAAGCAGAAGGCCTCTCCCACCGATCGAGCCTACTACCATGATGCAGCTTCGATGCTCCGGGTTATTGGCTGATTGGTGAGCAGGTTGTTAATTCACCTTCGGATACCCATAGCCACCGCATTTCAATAATTTTCATCCGAGAGGACCCACGACAGCTATGAAAGAAGCCTTTAAGACTAGTTTGTGGATGCACTGGTTCGGGGTGACAACGTACGTAGGGTTTGGTTCGGGGCTTTCTCGAACTCAGACCCCAGCACGCAGGGTAAGTGGCTTTGTTGCAAAGGTAGAGGGCTGGCTCACCGGCGCGTTGAACGAAGCAGTGCGAGCTGCGCAGCTCGCAGACGCAGCGGCAGCGATGCCGCACATGCGCTTCTTGATCTACCCGGAGCCAGGAGGGGCTCTGTCCGCTAGAATACGTTCAGGGCCCCACCATAAAACCTAGACCTACCCGTAGGCCCCTAAGTAGTTCCGTTTTGGGATTACCTTATATAGGATTCTAAATATAAAACCCCAAAAAGGAACTACTTAGGACCCTCCCTTCCCGGAGCCTTGAAGCCCCCGCGCAGCCCCCGCGCAGCCGCCACGCTCCAGGAGGCTCCCTCCCGGCGCACGTGGACCTCCCCAGGACGGAGGGGAAGCTTCGCTCCACATACACGTTCCTGCTCTACCTCAGCGCCGATGCTGCAAAGTTCGTCCTTGTAGCTGGGTTGAAGAGAAAGGGCTCATTTGGGGAACGAAGTGTTGCATAAATGGTTCACATATCCAAACGGCAGATTCCTGAACTGCGTCATTCGCCCGAGAAAGCTTCTCAATAACCTATCCACCCTTCATCCTGCCTTCCGACGCTGCTTGCCCAGGTGACTGCCGGAGTGGTGGTGCCTGGGACCGTCATTGGAATCCATGCATAGTTGAACACCGAGAGGGTGGCTTCCTTGTAGCGCTTGAAATGATGCCCATCTCTAGATCCCTGGCGAAGCGTCGCCAGAGGCTGAATGCCCGCCAAGCTTCGCAGAGAGATGATTGTTCAACAGATTAGGACGCCTCTCGTAGTGGCGTCTAGGCGGATGGCCCATAGAGTCAACAGTCGCTCTGCAACCAGGGACGAACCATTCGTGTTTCACACCGTTCCCCCAGATCCTGAACCCGAGCCCAAAACTGTATAGGTTAAGCCCTAACCACACTCAACACCATAATTCCTAAGCTGTTCGAACCTACCCCCTCATGAATTCTAAACCCTGATCCTAAACCCTTGTGCTACACACGCCCCTAACCCATCTAGTCGTAAACTGTGAACCTTCGAAAAACAGCCTTACCCTAAACCTTATTCCACCTTGAACCATAATATAGGCCATCAGCCCGAAACCCTTGAGAAGGTGAGACGACCTTCCTGGAGTGTTTGGAGGGGGACGAGACGCTGGCATCCAGCGGTGGCCTCGCCCCGGGCGACAGAGCGGAGGCTGCTTAAATCGAAGGCGATATTATCCCCGCATAGTCCCAATATACTTGTTAGAGCAACTATACTTTAATACACCCCAAAACCCTGTTGGAATGCTTAAGACCTCTTTTTTTACAGTACCGTGGGGCCTGATGTAGGGGTTTGAAGAAGTCTATTATAAGAAGTCCTTGCATAATTGGAGCCTGTCTCTAATCATGACGGCCCCTACCTTATATGGGGATTGGGGTTTAAGGGTTCAAGGCCTCAGGGGTTGTGATTTTGTGGTTTAGGGTTTTTGAGGTTTAAGGGTGTAGGAGTTTGGGATTTTAGGGCTTGATAGTTGATAGTTTTTGGAGTAGCTCTGCACTCGCAGCACTCAGGTTTGTTGGGAGGCAGCGTAATCTAGAACCCTAAACACCCCGAAGTAGTCGCCACCCCCCCCCCCCCTCCCTCCGCCCGCCCACCCCTTCGGTAGTTTCGAAAGTCTGGCCCCAGAGGTAGCTATGAGGCGTTGCCCAGCTGGAAACTAGGAGATGCAGGGGTTCTCGCAAGCAGATGGCCCATGCCGTCGGAAGCCCCGAAAGTACTGACGAAGTCACGAACTCAATGAAGCCTGAATCTGAGCCGATGTTCGCTAAGTTCTGTTCTAGAAGACCTGCAATTTCTTCACATGCACAATCTGGATCCAAAGGAGAGTTGGAATGGTTCCCTGTCAGGTGGCGGCAGTGAGCCCTGCGCGCGGGCGCTTGCTGCTGATGCCGCAACCGGCCCTCACGAGCGGGCGAGAAGCTTCAACAGGGTTTTTGTTTGTTTTGTACACCTTAACGGCTAAAGAACTTGATCCTTGTGGTGAATCTGGGGTTGATACACGGACACTATGAATCCACTTAGTTGCATTTTTCTGGGAGGTCCTCGTGAAGTGCAGTCCTACCAATGGTGATGCCGTGAGGGAATCCTGCTTTGAAGTGATCCAACCACTTCAGCAACACCGTTTGAAGTGCTATAGGTGTTGACTGAGCTCCTTGTGTCAAGGACGTGAACAGGATCCTGCGGCCACATGATTTATTGAGAAAAGCCGGAACTGCGAGAAGCCACATGCGCTTCACCATGCCCACAAAGACGCAACTGCGAAACCAGAATGGTGCTAGAGGTTCTTGATGTTTGAAAGACCGCTATGGCATCGTCAATGCCTTCTCCACCGCATGAGGAACAAGGTACGGTGGAAGCTACTTTGGCCCGAGGCAAGAAGTACTCTTGGATCACTTGTGTATTACCCCTACTCCGGATCAGCAGCTGCAACCGGCAAATGAGACACGAACAGCGTAAAGTCCTGAAGCCGCACGCCAACCTTTAACTCAGTCTTGCCTGCAGTCTTAACTTCGGAGCTTTCAAGCGAAGGCATGCCTGTCCGCACCTGGCAGCCCCAGTCGACGAGGTACCGAAGGCCGCCAAAGTATGCAGGTTTCCGGGCTACAGGGTGGATGCAGCGTGAGCCTTGGGTTCTCTAGGTCAGGCAGGTTCTGAGTCTTCCTGTCTTCGGGAGCTATGGGAGATTTTCGGGGCTCTAGAAAATGCTCTTGCCCTAACCCTGAAGTATTTACATAAGCTTTTCGGTCTCTTCAGCAGAGCTTCTAAATTCCAGAGGTTGCTGGGCTTCGGCAAGGGTTTGGAATTCACGAATCTGGGAGTCTGTGACTCATCAGACCTGCACTACACCAACTGTTCGGTACTTCCGGATACCCTTCATCCCGATATCTGTGCAACAGTCCCGAATTCAAGCATGAGGATCGCGGTTGAAGCTTTGCACATGGTTTGTCCAATCACCCTTCCCCCAACAACGTGTGACGTCCCGAAGCCGACCAGGTGTTGGTGCGAGGTGAGGTGCTGCCACCAGGCGAGCAGGAATATTGTAGACGTCTGGATGCTTCAGGTTTAGAGGTTTGCGTTAAGGGTTGAGGGTTCAGAGTTTGGGGGGTTCCTGCCGCACTAGATGCTCTCAACCTTCTTGTAGAATTTTTCTGCACTTGTTGAATGAAGCTTGATGCCATGGCAATTGGCCCGGATCGGATGGAGCGGTCCAGGTTGAGGGTGTTGAGGGAGGTGCAGGGTTCAAGAAGCAGTGAGGGCTAACGTCTAAAGGCACAACTTCTACATCCTATTTTCTAAGCCTCGGTCCTAAATCCTCAACCTTAACACCTCTGAACTCTGAACTCTAGATAAGTCGTTGGAGTTGACGCTTCCTGGAGTTTCTGTGTCGATTGGCTGCCACTCGGGGAATGTTTATTTAAAAACGACGATACCGAGCCACCATAAGCCAGACTTACAATCCAAGCCTTGCGTCTCCAGTCTTCTTCCATGCTGAGCCTCATGTGTTGCGTTGGTAATGGTAGAAAACGGATCAACCTAACAGTTCGACACCCACACAGGCTCAGACAACGAAACACCGGGTGTTAGTCACAGTGGCAGCTGACATGCGCGGTCTACAAAAAAGCCTGTTGGATCGTATTTATGATTGTCTAGATGGTGCCAAACCCAACAACCGTACATTACTCGAAGCCTCCTGTCAGATCCAGCTTCCGACATCAACATGTGGGGCGCCGCGGCCGATCCAGCCATGGCCACCACCTACCCTGAGTTCCTTGGGCTCTTCGATTCAGGAGGGTTTAGGGTTTAGGGTCTCCAATTCCCGACCCACTTTGGACTTTTCCCAAGCTCCCCGAAGAGCCCTCTCTTTTTGGTAAGCCGACTCTCGCCGACTGCAGAAGAGGACCCTGGTCCCAGACCCTGAAGCTTGGAATCATTACTTTGACATGCAGCGCAAGGAAGGCTAAGTCGGCTAAGCCCCCGAGAAGCAAGCTCCAGGCGGCAGCCGATTCATCCCGGAGTGCGAAGCTGTTGGGACTTGGGTGACAAAAACAATGTGGTGGCTATGCTTTGCTGCAAGCGTGTAGGGAGTCGGGGTTTTGGTGGCTTAGGGCTCAGAGTTTACGAGCTTTCTCCCAGGGTTTAGATTCTATGCAGCCCCAGGCACTAGAACGCTCAAACTGCGAGCTACGGCTGTGCGAAGCTGCAGTTCCGAATTCTGGCCCCCCCACTCGGTTTCTCTGGCAGTTTGTGTTATAGAACGGAGCAACACCATTAATTGAGTAGCAGCAGCCATAGGGGTGTTAGACCCGTAGAATGAGCTGCCCGCAGCCCAATTGTCAAAAACCCGTATGTCAACCCAGAACAAAGCTTTTGGCTTCTTCTTGCACCCAACATGTCTGAGCTCGCGCTAGACGCCCCTCACCGAGGCCTGGAATTCCCAAGCCCAGGGTCCGGAACTGGATGCTTCAGGCACGGACATCACCACCAGTCATAGTGGCAGTAGTAGTCGTCGTCTTCGTCGTATCATCATTTAACAATAATGATGGCGATTATTGTGATTCTTATGCTTATTCCTGTTCTTATTTGTCGTCTTGGCAGGTTGCGGGCTTTGCTCAAGCTCTTCGCGCCCCTTCAGCCTCATACCCTTACCGGAGAGAACCCAAAGGCATCTATCCCTGCCCTTACGATTGCCTTATTGCCCCAGAGAGAGAGAGAGAGAGAGAGAGACCTCAGGTTGTTTGGGGTCGAATCCACCAACCACAATTCCTTTGGGTTCCTATTTTACATTGACATATAGGACACTATACCATACTATACCCAGCACCCCCTATACGAATGAGACCAGTCACCGCAAGGTTCCTACTGTTACATATAGGACACTATACCCTCCAAATCCTATTCTCGAGTACAGCTGCAGTAAGGGTCCTAGATTATGCAAATGGCCGCGAGGCTCGCCAGTTGCTCAGCGGCTCTCGCCCAATGTCAGTCGGCAAGGCAGTGCTGATGCCCCTCGGCGGTCGAAGAGCCGACTAGTGACCAGTGTAGTAAGTTACATGCCCCCGAACCCTATTCTAATGATCAGAGGCCACGGAATAGTGTAGGATCTTGCAGACTTGGAAACCTGTTGCTGCCAAGAGGGATCTCTTCTCGGTTTGGGTAGTCTTGGATCAGTCCTATTGACCTATTGTTTACCCTCGTATATTCTTCCTCGGTGCTTTGGGATTCTGCATGCATCAGGACTTCCGTGTAAACTCTGGTGCTAGAAGCCTTGAGCTCTGCCTCGGCCAAGAGGGATCAAGATCTTCAGGTTCTGATTTACTCTTTGTTTTGGAGGGGTAGGGGGTAAACATAGAATGTGCCACTGCACCGACCGCTCTCTCCGACACGCGAACAGGGCTCGCGCGCACACACACACACAGAGGAGAGAGACACACTCGCGCCTTCGCTGGCAGCAGGTCAAGCAAGCATGCAGATGCACGCTCGTGTGCTCTCACGCACTCCCTCTGTCTCTTCGCTCTCTCTCTCTCTCTCTCTAAATCTCTCTCTCTCCCTCTCTCGCTCTCTCTCTCCCCCCTCACCAGCATCACCAGCCCGCTCACGAAGAAGCGGGTTGGGATTCAACCCTGACTCTTCTCCTCCATCAATTACATTAAAGCGGAAGGTGGTCGAAAAGCTTCGCCCTTTTCTTCAAGGGCGTTGAGGACATCACTTGCTGGCTTCTTAGGGTAAGCTTGGTTTCGGGAGGGGGGGAACTCATGCTTCGATTCAGGTCTTGTTGCTAATGCTTCGGGACAAAAGGTATCGAGGTGAATTCGAGGAGAGTTCTCCGTGTGACCCTGGTGTCAGCTGATTTGACTTTAGGGTGCCTCGGCGTGTTCTAGTCATCTATAGGACTCCAAGGACTGCACAGCGAGCTTACCGAACCTCGGACCCTAAACAGATTTAGAATTTGCTTGCGTGTTTTCCGAATGAATTTGTGTTTCTCCGGCATGTGTGAACTTTTGGTCTATTTTGCTAGTTTACGGCTACCGGATTTGGCTTGTGATTATGGTTGCTGGAGATACACTTGGCGTGTCTTCCAGCCGTCATAGTCATGGAGTTGCTTTGCGCGCCATTATTGCATACACCTACCTCAAGAGTCCAGCGGTTCCGCTCTGGCTTTAGACCCTTCGCCGCGCACCGTTCCCAGTTCTGCGGCCGATCGGGCAGTTCGGCTCCATTGCGCTTGGCCTCCATGACTCCGCTTGTTTGGAAAGTCGATGCGAAACGAAGACCCAAGAACCCAAGAAAGCTTCCAGGACTGCCCCATCTGCTACAACGTGATCCAGCTCACGACGCAGACGATTCCCCGAAAGGCGCGCGTGGGAGCATCCGCTGACCCATCCCGAAGTTTGAATGGTGTGAACATGCCTTCGTGTTGTGAGACAGGCTCGGGGTAAGGTGCGAATGCTTTTGAGACATGAGCTGCATTATGACCAGAACAGTGGGGGATAAGGACAACGCACAGTCATGTCCTGTGCTTGAAGGGGCACGACCTGGAAAGCATTGCTGAAGTCTAAAAGAGAATTTAGGGCAGGTGTTGAGGCCCAAGCCCAGAACCATGTCCAACAAAGTGTCCTGCCCCAAAAGCCAAACGAAGCTGCAAAACCCGAGCCTTGACGCCCGATCACCTGGCCATGGTCTACCGAGTCTACAGCTTAATAATAGGGGCCTCAATAATTACCTATATTTATGTTTGGGGGTTCCTTAGTATAATTATAATGGGCCCCAAAACCCTATTCTAATTATTAAGGCCCCTATATTATGCTTATGTTCTATTTGCTAAGCTGCCCGTAGGGAGCCTGCGTCTCCCTGCAAGCCAGACAGGCCTGCCCTACATGCAAGCACAAGTTCCACAACGAGCTCGGAACTCAGTGCAAGGACATGAATGCAGGTTCTGCGGCAGCCTTTGTGCGTTACAAAGGTTGCTGCTGGATGTTCGACCTGCGGGGTTGCAGCATCCGTCAGTTTGAGCTTTGAACCCTGAATTATATTATATTATATTATATTATATTATATTATATTGTAGTATATACTATATATATATATTATATATATATATATTCCGAGTCTAGGGCAGAGGCGGGAAAGACTTCGGAATTCCAAACTTGTGGTGACACATCGCATGGTGTAGACCGCCCCGTGAACCCAGGTGGTTCTTCGGAGTTGATGTAGATTTGCCTGTGGAACCATTGCTGAACCTCATGTCTGGGTTCAAGGATTCCTTGCCCGGGCGGCAGACATTCCACAAATGTGGCGACAAAGGCTGCTGCAGAACCCGAAAAGTTGAAAACTCAAACAGATTGGGCCAAGCTCTGCTAACTCCCACGTGCTAGACCCTGCAGCCTTCAGTGTTTAGGGCTAGGACCCAAGTTCCACTAGGTTCCTGTGCCTCAGAACTTTGGGGTTCTGGTTTTGGGCACGGCCTTTTGCATTGCTGAAGGTTCTTTGTGGAGCGTTTCAGGTCAGGGTTCTTCAACGGCTCAGTATACCTGGCAGCGAAAAAATTGGCCTGGTGCACACCAGCAATCCTTGACCTCTGAGTTCTGAGCATGGTTTGCCATGGGTAGAGCCTGACAACTCGCAATCCGAATGCCAGAGGCAAAATCCCCAAAAATTGCTAGACCACAGCCTCCACACTGCAAAGCATGTCATCCCTTGACACACCGAAAGCCAGAGGCTGCCGTCTCCACCGCTTCAGCGGTTCAGGGTTCAAAGTTCAAACTGACGGATGTACTGACGTAGCCGTAAACTGTGAACTACAAGCCAAGAAGTCAAGTCCGCAGCCTCGCCACCCAATCCCGAAGTGTTCGTGGCACCTGAGAGGAATCTGGGGCTTAGAGCTTTTGGGTTCGATCTTTTTTAACTAAAACCATCTACGCTGATCGCATTGCTGTAGCGCTGCTTGCGTCTCGGAGCCCTGCAGAAACGCAAGCTATACCTTCAAGGTCGGGTCAGGCTCAGCCGGGCTTCGGGCGTTTCTTTACAACAGCCATAGTCATAGTTCATCAGTTCATCAGTTGAGGACCGGGCGTGAAGCCAAAGGGGCAGGCATCGTAAACACCGTCCACGGCTTGTTCACTCGAAAGTTATCTATCCAAGCCAATAGAGGCAGCTGATTAGCCAGAGTGAGGCTGCATTGACATAGCTTCGCAGCAGATCAGTTACCTAGCAACCAGACGACCGAGGTGCCTCTACCAGTGGTTCCGGTCCTCCAACAAGACGACCTGCCCACTGTGCAACCAGCCGTCGGGGGACCCGTTAGGCTTTAGGATTTAGGGCCGTCCACCATATTTGACTGTCGTTAGGTTTGGTATGTCACCATTGTCACTGACTGCCTCAACCCGAAACACTTCATGCCCTGTCCCACAAGCCCTGAAGCGCAGGCTTAAGATTTCCTCGCCCTTATGAGCCCTTCTAGGATCCCTAAATTCCCCAGATCCGACCCCCCCAAATCCCTGCCAAACCGTAAGACTGCCTTCGAAAGCTCTGAAAGCACACGGAAGACCCCGGTGAGAAGTCCCTGTGAAAGGTCGGCGCTGCGTAGACCACTAGGCAAGTCTTTTCTCGAAGGCATTCTCGGCGTGTTGGTCTCCCAACTGCCATTCCTGGACAACACAGCCTTAACATGCATTGTAGCTGTCAAGATGGACCCCAGCCATCCACTCGCATCCTAATCTTCCCTCGACATCCGGAACAGACCCTTGCTGGAAATTGTAGCGGGAGTT